TAATTTAAGCATGCAATTAACTGATGTCATGATCGTTCCATTATTATATAATTTTAATTTAAAAACAAAATTGCCATTTAAAAAGACAGAAATAATAAAGCCCGTGCATCGAACGGGGACTGTACTAGTAATAATAATAATAATAATAAAATAAACCAGAAAAATATTGAAATTGGTGTGACTGCTTTTTCTCTTCCATCTTCTACCGCCGTACAACTCCATGTGCGGCTCCAGGGCAGGTGACAAAACCCCAACCAAGAGATGCCGGCTATGGTCTCGGACGAGTAAACGGCGAGAAGTACGGCCTCGAATCCGGAGAGGGAGACTGGTCGGTTTGAGGCGGGGTGGTGGATTCAACGGAGGTAGACGGCTTGCAGCGATCGGGATGGTGGCGCATGCCTCCTACGCTTTGAACAGCTACTGACAGAAGAATAATAAGATCCGGAGTCGGTGAAATTAGGATTGCGCATCGATCACGGAAATTAAGTGTGCTCACGAAAAATTAGGATTTTGTTTGGATTTTGGTTAGTTTTGAAAAAGTTGGTATGATTAATTGTTAGTGGATATATTAAAATAATATTTAAAATAAAATGATTAAAGTTGATTTGATGTAAAGTAGGAAAGAGAAGATTTGAAGTGATGGTTAGTTAAAATTATGTGAGTGGATGGATAGTGAATTAAGGTGATGTTGTGTGTAAGAATGATTGATGGATATTATTTAATTATATTGATAATATTGATGATAGTGGAGTTGAGTTAAAGTTGAGTTAAAAAAATGATTGAGTTAAAAAAATGGTTGAGTTAAAAATGTTTGAATTTTTTTGAGAAATTTTTTGTATCCAATCATGGTCAAAATTTTTTAAAGTTGACTTATTAATTATCTTTCACTTGTAATTTTTTAAGTATTATTTAAATTTATATATGTCGATTTTGGTAAAAATAATTTATTGTTTAAAGAATTATAAAAATTTATACCTATTGGCTGTGGTAAAAAAATAATTTGACCGTCATAAAAAAAAAAAAAAACATAATGTCCTAAAGAAAAAGGTAGGAATTTGATATTAATAGTTGAATACATAACAGATTAAACATGTCATCAAAGGGATCCGTGGCGCAATGGTAGCGCGTCTGACTCCAGATCAGAAGGTTGCGTGTTCGATTCACGTCGGGTTCAAATCCCTTAAAACGGATCATT